CAGAACAAGCCACAGCCACCTCACCTTGCCAATTCCTCAGCTGATCCTGTTTCCTCAGACTGGAAACCTCTCAGTCCTCATCCAGAATGAATCTCAGCTGAACTGTGCTGCTCAAAAGCCTAAAAGTTTAACCAGCTCTAGTTCCTGGTCCTCACGCCTTAAATACCTTTCTGCTTCCTGCCATCACTTCCTGGGATTAAAGGCTCGTGTCGCCATGCCTGGCTGTTTTCAGTGTGGCTTTAAACTCTCAGGGATCCAGGCGGATCTCTGCCTCTGGAATGCTAGGATTAAAGGTGTGTGTGCCACCATTTTCTGGCCTCTGTATCTAGTGGCTGTTCTGTTCTCTGACCCCAGATAAGTTTATTAGGGTGCACAATATTTTGGGGAACACAATATCACCACAAGGTTCTGCTTTTGTTTCCACAGAAGATGAGGGCATGTGGATTGCTTCCAGGTTAATATGATTCGATTGAACAAGACCCCTGTGGTGGTATTTTTATTTGTGCTGAAATGTGATATTTTATTTGTATGTTAATCAATAAAGTTTGCCTGGAGATCAGAGGTCATAGTCAGCCATAAACAGAAGGCAGTGGTAGCACACACCCTTAAGCTGATCATATGGCAGGCAGAGTCTCTGTATGTTCAAGGACACAGCCAGGCTGGTGATACACGCCTTTAATCCCAGTAACAACCATAGAGACCTGGAGGTCTCTATAGACAGGTAGTGATGAGGAAGTGATGTGACTAGGCTTAGAGCCAATGAGAAAGCAGAACAGGAAGGCAATAAAGGCACAGGTTAGACAGGAAGAGGTTCACTTGGGAAGCTACGATGTGGTGAGCTAAGGTTAGTTGGCAGCTGTTGCTATGATCTCTACAGCTTGTACCCCTATATTTGGCTCTATGTTTCTTATTTAATAGGACTGTTTAGAAATTCATCTATAGACCCCCTGAAAAATCTCCAATGGGAACAGATGGCTCAGATGATCCAACATTTTAGAGCACCTCTGTTGCAGTTTCCTCTGAGTTCTGCATCCAAAAAGGCTTCAAGGCTATTGGCTGAGATGATCCAGCCTCATAGACTACTCCTGTCAGGACTTGAACATAATCCTAAATTTTCTCAGGGTCCCCCAAAGATTATCATTGCCCCCAATCAGCAGGAAGTAGCCTAGAAAATTATGCCCACAGTCCTCAAAAATGGATTATGAATGTTTGTCTTTGTTTAGGGGGCTTGGTTACAAATTGTTATTGGTCATAGTCAATTGCTTTCTAAAAGAAGAAAGGAGGATATGATATAGAAATGATAAAAAAGATAGATTATTGAATCTACTTTGACCCAAAAATCAGCTGTTAATATCAAACTACTTTACATTGATATGGATTTTGGTGTAGTGATACAAATTTAAAGTTAACTTTGTTACACTGTATATATGTTTCTATTCTTGTTTAAAGGATTTTTGTATATTGATACAAAATTAAGGTTATTTTTGTTACAACATACTATATATATATATATATATATATATATATATATTTCTATTTTTGTTTAAGGTATTGTACCTATGCAGTTCATTTAAAATATAAGGTAAAGTTCTAATTTTTGAAAGCTATTATTATAAACTATTTAGGATAATCAAAAAACATAGGTTAATAGTCTTCTATAACAATCAAGTTTGTAGATATGTCAGGTATGTTTTCAGGATCATAAAGAGATATATTTTAGATAGATGGTCTTCAAATACTTCAAAGACCTGTAGAATATAGTATTTAAAATATTTTGTTAACATAGGTTTTTTTCATAACATTATGAGACACATCTGCTCCTGGCAGTGCCAATTCATGTCAGAGAAGATGATGGGTGTTGAAGAAACTCCTTGTGGAGTTTTCTTTCATTGTGGCAAGCCTAGTCATTTGGGTAAGAAACTGCTTTTGCCTGAACTACTTGACAGTATGTTATATAAACTGGACATGCAGGACCCATGGGAAAATGAACACTGAATTTTGCCAAAACAGGATGAGATGGTCCTTCAGGTTCCTGCTTCACAGAAAAAAACTGCCAGGCATTCTGCATGACATAGAGAAAAGCAACTGACAAACTTTGTCAAAATAGGCAAAACAGTCCTTCAAATTTCCTGCTTTCCCAAAAAGTATGCCAGAGACTCTAGGCCTGTAGGCTCAAGATGGATGCCCCAATACTACAGAGGAACTTTGGGTGTCTGTCCAGGCAGCCAGATGTATCTGTCATTTCTAGACTTTTGGAAGTTGCTTACAATGCACTTCCTGTTTACTTAGGTAATATTATATTCTTCTGGGGTCTTTGATGGAGTTGAAGACTAGATAGTTGTAATTATAGTTTTTCTTAGTTATAATAAAAGATAAATTAGATATAAAACTTTAGATTCACAAAAATAAGATAATTTTCTTTAATTTTGCCAAATACAAAGAGACAAGATATTGTAACTGTAATTCTTGCTTAATAACTGTTTTGTTATATCTAGTTTTACTGTGTTAAAATGAAAACCTCCTTTTGATTAGACAGAAAAAATGAAATGCTGTGGGATGGTCTTTCTGTATGTTGTGTGAATATGTGTTG